GGGCAGACAGAGGGACAGAGAGGGGGCAGATAGAGAGACAGAAAGGGGGCAGATAGAGAGACAGAAAGGGGGCAGACAGAGAGGGGGCAGATAGAGAGACAGAGAGGGGGCAGACAGGCAGACAGAGGGAATGCAGTGTTTAAGACACTTTACATGAGGGCAGATTTTCATGGTGCTTCATCATAGTGACTGGTACCAATAGTAAGAACAGTGGTTAAAATCCCACTCATCTGGGATCATCAGCTTGTCATCGGCAACTTGGCAGGTTCCCATGGTGTTAAGCAAAGCAAAGAGGATCGGCATGGCAATGGGAATCTCACCAGACATGGTGATTCAAAGCCTCAGTCATTTCTCCTGTAACTAGGCCTTGGTTACAGGGGTGCTTGGTGCAGCACTGACCTGAGGAATGTTTCCTTTGACCAACTGGCAAGTTCAGGTGTGTAGACAAGTGGCACGTGCATATGGAACGGTGCTTCCAGGGATGACTCACGGAGCGGAAATGCAGAGGCAGCAGAAACAGGCAAACAGGCCAGTGTGGCTGGATTCATTACAGGGGTCTGAAGTGCTTTGTTTGAGTCGTTTATTCCGTCCTTCTCACTCAGTACATGCCGGTGGCTCGAACACAGCATCCATTTGCAGTTACAGTGAGTTTCATGGTAACTCCCATGTAATGCATGTAATACTGCATTGGGGATTTATAAATACTGAAAGATGGCTTAATTATTACGGACCTAAAGAAAGTACAATACTAACTCTGTGTTTGTTTGATACACAAGAGTCGTGTGCAAACTAACACTGTATGGGCAATCCCTCCAAATCAGACGGAAAACATCACTGCATTACAGTCTACAGTACACCTCATAATAAACCAGTGTAAATTTGAAGTGAAAGGCTTTATATATAAATATTTATTAGTGACATCTGAAAAGACATTTTACATACTAGGTCTATAAATACATTTACACAGCACGCCTCACACATCAGAGCTCAAGTAACAGAATCTCACATGTTATTCCAAAAGACGAACATAAAGAATCAGCCGAGGAAATATCCAACAGAAAGAAGACCCATGCACGTCGATCGGAGAGTCACTGGTAACAACTACGGCGTAAAACACATACATGAGAAACGAAATGGGCTGAAAGGCCGGGTAGAAAACAGTTACTTTCATACCTAAATCGTTGCTTGTTACTAAATAGAAAAACAATGGTTCCAAACATGCAACTGAAGCGGACTGGGGATGACCGGGGTGGACCAGAGCAGACCGGGGATGGCCAGGGCAGACCGAGGATGACCAGGGCAGACCGAGGTGGACCAGGGCAGACCGAGGTGGACCAGGGCAGACCGAGGTGGACCAGGGCGGACCAGGACATCCCCGAGGCACACAATTAAAGTTGTTTCGCACAGATGTAAACATTTCAGGTGGCTTCGGCTCGCCGGGGGGGAGGGTTCCTGAGCCGCGGTCCATCTCCGAGCTCCTGTCCGGCCCGCTTCAGCTAGGGTGAGGGGGGGGGCTTGAGGGAATGGCAGGAGCCCCCCTGGACCCCTCCAGAGGTCCCCTGCCCCACCCACTGCAGAGGGGAAGACATCGGAGACAGGCTGAGCTGCGGTAACGACATCCGCTAACGAGTGGCTGAATCAGACCCGTAAAAGAAAAGCAGTTTTAATAAACGGGCCGATACAGTGACCCTCAACGCTGCAGAACAGGTGTGAAGATTTGATTCGATTTTTGGCATCATCACCTTGGCCTTTGAAGTCTCTGCCAGGCTGTTATCCTCAGTCCACATGCGTCATCGTACCAAAACACCTCAACTCACAAAATAACCACACAAAAACCACCCGAACTGAATTTCTCTGATTTGGCCGAGGACCCCAGCATCCTGTTGGCCAGTGGAGCAGAAGCTACCGTTTGCAGACATAGCATTTTTAATGTTTTCATTAAAAAGGGGAAATGCTGCCGAACAAGCACACCATACAAGCTAAGAGAGACCCGAGAGGCCTCACAGTGGCTGGCAAGCAGAGAAAATACCATCAGGAAGGAAAGAGGCACCTTCAGAAATGCCACTATAAATTTTCTAAAGATAAATGGGTCTTTTGAAGGGAGTTTAAACTTGACCAAAAAGGCCTGGCCTCTGGAACGCTGAATTATAGATGAGGCGGGCGGTCTTACAGGTCAGCGTGAGTCAAAGTGAGATTTCAAAGCGATGCAGCAGGAACTGAGGTGGGAAGAGACACACAGATATCACAGCCTCTGGCCAGTTGAATCGCAGGCTTAACATGTTATGGGCCAGGGGTAACATTCTTACTGGGTGTAATTTATTATACTGATCAAATGATGTCACTGGTATTTAAAGTGCATGATTAGTGTTTCCATTAGAATCGAGTAAATGTGTATCCTTCAGAGGAAAGGGCTGACAGCGGCTCCTACCTCCACCAGGGGGTGCCAGTGTGCGATGGGCTTGCGGGGGTATGTCAGCATCTCACTCCAGTGGTTACGACCCAGGTTCTCAGCATCGTTACCCACCCGGCACACACCAATGATCTCGTTGTGACCTACACTGTGAAAGCGCCCAGAGACAGTGCATTCTTAAAGCCGACGGTTCTCACATTCACACCAACACATTTACCTTTCAATTATTTAGTAAGATCCTTTTATCCAAAGCGACATTCTACTGGGGTTAAGTCCCTTGCTCAGGGGCCCAACAGTGAAATCACTCTGCCAATTGTGGGATTTGAACCACCAACCTTCCAAAGGCTGGGAACAGCCTCTCACTGAGCTACAAACACCGGGATGCATTGTTTTCATTCTCTTGACAGACACGCTAAGAGGAAAGCAGAATGGATTCAGCGAGCATCGCTGACTAAGCTGTGGAATGTAAAAGCACAAAGGGATCCTAGAAAAGAGCATGAGGAGGGAAACATTTCTGTTTAGATATCCTGCTTTCATTAAGGGCTGCTGTTTTTGTACCTTTTCCTGTTAGTTTCTGCTTGCAAGCTTTAGTAGGGTGACAGAACATGGTCAAAAGATGCATAAATATTCATGAAAGACGGAGGAGGCTACCGGTCATAGTCCATAACTGCGATCAGAAGGCTGATTTGGTCGATGTTTTCCGGAGGGACATCGAACACTATGGCTTCGTTGTAGATGGGATTCAGCGTGTTCCTTTTGATTGATGTTTTCCTCTTCTTCAGTCTGCGTCCATCACACATTAGAGAGACCTTTACATATGGATCTGTGGACAGACAGCAATACGAGTCAAGAGGCAAAGCCCATGGAGTGACAGCTTTATGTTTTATGATTTTACTGTAATGTGTGAGGTCCATGTAAATGGACGAACATATGCACATACAAGGGCAAATCAGAGGAGCACCTTCAAACAGCAGCAGCTCACAAAAAAGCGACCCAGAGGAGCTCCTTCACACTGCAGCGGCGTGTGAAAGACTGAACCAGAAGAGCTCCTTCACACTACAGCAGTGTGTGAAAGAGAGAACCAGAGGAGCTCCTTCACACTGCAGCGGCGTGTGAAAGACTGAACCAGAAGAGCTCCTTCACACTGCAGCAGCGTGTGAAAGAGAGAACCAGAGGAGCTCCTTCACATTACAGTAGCTCATGAAAGAGTGTACGAGGAGCACTTCCACAGTGCAGCAGCTTGTGAAAGAGCGTACCAGAGGAGCACCTTCACAGTGCAGCGGCTTGTGAAAGAGCGTACCAGAGGAGCACCTTCACAGTGCAGCGGCTTGTGAAAGAGCGTACCAGCACTAACCTGATGCCCCTGTGATGTCCATGGCTTTCAGGTTCCTGGCCTTGATCATGGTGATGGTGAGCCGACCAGCGGTGGGGAGATAGCACAGCGAAAACATGAGGTCCCCCAGGTCAACATTATCCTAAAGTAGGGGAGACAGGGGAAATGAGCAGAAGGCCTTTTGTTCAGATGGTACAAAGAACACAAGTGTTCTTATGCACTGGTATTGGAAACATCTCATCTGTGGAGCATGAAAAGCTTTGCAAGGAGAATCCTTTGGTTTTCCAGAGCAAAAGTCTCCTGACTAACAGAGCATGAAGTGCTCTGTTCACATGTTTTAAAAGCAGCAGTTCAATTATCACCTCTGTAAATAGCACATCTATAAAAAAAAAGCTGCAGATTTTCACCCGAAACCCCCTACTTCTGAATCTCACAAGGGATATCAACCCGAAACCTGCAGCCTTTGCATTTGTGTTACCTCACCTCAATGGCTTGGCTCTGCCAGCTCACATAAGGGGCGGATTTGCTTTAAAATGTCCTGGTCTGTCTCTGCCAGAGCTCCTCCGTGCCTAGGCGCAGAACGCCGGGCTGCATCTATGCCAAGATGCATGGGTATCCGAATGTGTCCCTCAGCTGTCTGCGGGCCGCGTCGTCATCATTTAGCTGCATCGTCAGTCACCACAACCCTATGCTGCTGCTGCTCCCGAGGCACTGCATTGAAGTACATCTCAAAGCTGTGAAGAAGTCATTTCCCTGGAGACTGATGATGAGGCTTAATCAGTATCTTCATTCCCACAATCATACAAGAGCGTGAGAGAACAACCGCTCCCTCTACAGCACCTTGCTGACGATGGCAAAGGTGACAGAGGGATCTGATGTACTGGGTGCGTCAGGGTCTCATGGGCGTGTGAGTTACCTCCTGACTTTTCAGTGGCAGGTGCAGGGTAGAAGACAGACACCTCCCCCCATTCACTGGCAACATCCTGACATACTAAGAGGGGGGGCGGATGTGCTGTAGTAAGCGAAGCCAGTGATCTTCTAGCACTATCTCAACTTCCGAGTAGAAGGCACGCTTCCACCGGGCAAATTCCTCCCGGGACAAATAATGCGATCGGCCCCTTCCATCTGAAGGGTATAGGAGAACTGCTGGCTACTTTCTCACTCGCCTCTAAATCAAGTCAACGGTGAAATGATGGTCACTCTTGCCTGGTCAATCAGATTAGAGCAGAGCACTGAGAAGGTGCATCACCATGCAGGGGAGCCAATGAGGAGTGAACGAGGAGCAAACAAGGGCAGCGTCTCCATCTCAGGAGGTCAGACAGACAGGGCCACTGCCGTGGTCTTACCTCACAGTCTGGCCTCCTCTTCCCCCCCCCCCACCCTCGTTTAGAGATCGCCTTCTCAATTAATTTCTCTCTTTGCTCCTTCTCAGAGGCTATTTGTACGAAGGAGCATCGAGTGACAGCGGTGCAAATGGAGAAAGATACAGTGACAGTCATTCGAGGGTGCTGCAGGCAGCAAACAGATTAAAGGTCCATATTACATACACACGTTTTAAGTTGTGAGATTTATGTTGCTATCCAGGCTGGAAGGGCATGTGGGATTCTGCCTGAAACAACGTGGCTGTGTGCAATTTCAGCGTGATACAAAATTTCAGTGAAGGGCTCGTTTAAAGCTTTGTCCCATTCCAGCCACCTTTCATTCACACAAACCTTCGTCCTGAGAGCAGAAAACTAGCTTGAAAATTTGGTTATCTTAGTTTATCTTAATTTCTCATAAAGTTCTCTTTTAGTAAAGTAACTTAATTTATCCATTACAGCCACATTCATGTGCCTATTTGGTTTAGGGTTAGGATTAGGGTTAGGGTTATTTGGTTTAGGGTTAGGATTAGGGTTAGGGTTATTTGGTTTAGGGTTAGGATTAGGGTTAGGGTTATTTGGTTTAGGGTGTTGTTTAGGGGTTTGAAATGACAGCGGAACAGGGCATTTTGAAGCATCTGCTTTAAGAAGCCAGTAGACAGTTATTTCAATACGACACGTTGGGATTAAATTTATAAAACATTTCAGTACATTGTGTTTCTTATTAGAGGGTCCTTGAACATAATGGCCCAAATGAACATGTCTTCATCATCCATCCATTTTCTGCAACTGCTTGTCCTGTTCAGGGTGGTGTCACAGGGCACACTCACACACCATGCACACCAATGGGCAATTTGGCAACTCCAATTAATCTCAGCATGAAACCCCACAATAACCTGGGGAGAACAAACAAACTTCACACACATGGAGACTTGAATCCAGGTCCCAGAGGTGTGAGGCAACAGTGCTAACCACTGCTCCACCATGCCGCCCCCCGTAATCCATCGTCTTACTGGTAATCCGGTCAGGCTCGTGGGGAAATGAACCCACATCCATTATCTCATTCCTTCACTTCTGACACTGGAACAGGGAAGCCCTACCGGCTTAATGGCAACCATCAATGTATGTCCCACATGCAGAAAGCAGGAGAGCGTGAACCAGTCGAGCACATCATTTATGCATGCGGTCATGTGAGTGTGCTGCTTCCCTGGAGCTCTGGCCCAGATTGGCAGCAGAACAAGGCCCAACGCCCCGGCTCCAGCTCGCCTGCTGCACACAAGCCCGAAGCCCCCTCTTCCAGACAGGCAGGCAGTGGAGAGGAAGCCATTATGCCTGACAGTGGATCCAGCATGATACGCCAACTCACACCTGCCTCCCTGAGCAGTGCAGCAGGAGCGGCTGCTTATCGGTCAGCTAGTGTCTTATTTCTGTAGGTGTCAAAATTATTTTGGATCTGGATCAGTATCACGCTGTCAAGGCTGGGCTCTCGCTACCTCAGGGGCCAACTAAGTGACAAGCAGGGGCCCTGGATCACCATCATACTGTTGAAGCTGGACCCTCACTGCCTCAGGGGCCACATGAGTGACAAGTGGGGGCCCTGTATGAATATCATACTGTTGAGGCTGGACCCTCACTGCTTCGGGGGCCACATGAGTGACAAGTGGGGGCCTTGAATCAGTATTAAACTCTCAAGGCTCAGGGGCCACGTAAGTGAAAAGTGGGGCCCCATAATCAATATCACACTGTTGAGGCTGGACCCTCACTGCTTCTTCCATCCATCTTTAATTTAGGTCATCCCTCTGTGCTTCATGGTAGGCACTTATGAAATATTCACCCCTCTAAGTATAATTCCGAACTACCATTTCTTGCAATGCACAAGGACAAATACGGAGACCTCATAACTTAATATTCCACGGATTGCTTTCGACTTCAGCCACACATTGCTGCTCACAGGGGCACAGACGTGTAATGAGCTATATTCACTGGGAGGGCCCAGCGTCAGGGTTAATGGCAGTCATTCCAAAATGGAGGACAGCCCGAGGTTTGTTTTAGAGAATACAGAAATACAGTGGCTAAACAGTGACATTCACAGCGAAAATAAATTGCTCATAATTTTCCTGTAATAAGTATCTCAGTGCTGTAGGGCGTGTGGGAGAGTGGTGGGGGGGGGGGAGGCAGAGGTATTTGGGACAGCAGCCAAGCAAGAGCACAGATATGAAGTGGGAGCCAGAAGGCCGGCTGGTCCCCAGCAACCACTGTTAGACCAGTAACCACTGCTAGACCAGTAACCGCAGTCAAACCAGTAGCCGCCGTCAGACCAGTAACTACTGTCAAACCAGCAACTGCTATCAGACCAGTAACTGTTGTCAGGCCAGTAACCGCTGTAAGCCCAGTAATCGCCATCAGACCAGTAACCGCTGTCAAACGTTAATTGCTGTCAGATCAGTAACCGCCATCAGACCAGTAACCACGATCAGATCAGTGAGTGCTGTCAGACCAGTAACCACTATCAGACCAGCAACTGCTATAAGGTCATTAATTTGCTATCAGGCCAGAAACTGTTGTCTGACCAGTAACTGCCATCAGACCAGTAATGACCAGAGCTGGGCGGTATGGCCAAAAAATCACGATAAACAAAACACATCAGTTGATAAATATCATGATAAATGTCTGATCGTTTTTTTTCTTTCTTGTTTAAAGGCTGATTTTTTTTACTACTGAGTTAAAACTGAAGAGATCAAATGGGTAATCATAGTTATAAACTATTATTTATCTACAGAACGTGAGAAACACTTGCCAGACAGTAGAGATGGCCAAAATGGCACTTATGGAACAATCTGCTCTATTTTCGACCCCAATAGATCAGTGGCTCCCAACCTTTTTTGGCCTTTGACCCCATTTTGACATCACAAATTTCTGCCGACCCCATAGACATTTTTTTTTTCTAGAATTAGTTTTTGATCATGTTTGTTATATGATTCTCTGCAAATATAGAGAAGCCAGATTAGTGCACAAAGTCATATTTTATTTTCCCTGATCACATGAGCAGTTAGGCGAGCTTGTCTTTACAAGGCTGAAGATGATTGCGATCATTCTATTTTAACTCATTTATATTTATTGATATTTATGAATGTGAAACAATACAGTTGTTTAAGATTGTATGTGGTGTTTTAATCATAATTTTTAAAAGAATAATAAGTAGTTGAAAAAATATTTTTTATCAGTAATTTTTTTTATTAATTACTAGACAATTAAGGGGACCCCATTTGAATACAGTTCCTGTGTGACAGATATATCATGAATGTGGAATTGTGGATGTTGAAATGGAATCAAGCACAGGCATGACTAGTCAAAGACGATTCACTAACGATTCATTCCTGATAGTGTCACATGAGTCTCCCCCCAGGTGTAAACATGAATGTCTGTAAGATAAGCGGTATGTTAAGCTACTTACTCAGTTAGCACCTTTGCCTAGTTGTTCAATATTGTAGTGCTTAATGGCACTTTACCTGCAAAATATCTATAGGTCCCTTCAAACTAACTTGAAAGTTATGTAGACGTGCAAGGAAAAGAGAGAGAAGCAGTACAGCAAAATGGGGCAAATGGAATTATTTTGTATCTTATCTGCATTACATTACATTAATGAATACCTTTTTTGCTTGTGTCTTCATATTTCTTAGTCCCTCCCAAAAACTGTCAATAACTGATAAAATGACTTGTTCATCCTCCCCTGTATTGGGGTAGCAGTGTAGTTTAGTATGAATTTGTGTGAAATTTAACCTGCAAACTTTTTTGCACCCCCCATGCTTATTCACATTTCATGTTCTGCGGTCGGAAAGCGACACGCAAAAGTTGCCAGGAGCTACAAAAGTTCCCAGTTGAGACAGCCCAGGAACCAGGTGAGAGTGCATTATGGCTTGTCTTGGTTTGTCTGGTTGCCTGTTGCTTTGTAATACATAGTGTGACTTTGACTCTCTATCACTGGAGTCTTAGACAATATTCTACTCCTGGAATTTCCTACTGTCCTGAAGACTCTGGGGAATAAAGAGTGCTTTCTTCTTCAAAGACAATAACTCAGGGCTTTGAGTTCTCCTAAGGTATCAGAAGCTTGATTTAAATGGCTTCCAACCTGTGGGAGTCTGAGCAACTGCCTATTTTCCTGTTATAATCATGCTGTGAGACTGTAAGATTCATAAAAGTGGGGTCACTCAAGACAGCAGGTCAGCTGTTAGCTGCTAGGAGCTCCTTAGAAGGAGACTGGCTCGCACATCCTCTCAATAACGATCCTGCATTTCAAGGTTCTCATGCAAATATGAGATGGTATCCCTTTTCCTCTTCCTGTCGGAAATATGAGGTTGTTCTCCATGTAGGTCATGTCCTCCGGAGGAATGACATCATGAAACGATGCGGAAGTGAGGAGACCAGTGCTGCTGTTTCTGCACCCCGCCATATATCCATGTTCCAAACACCCATAATGTTATGAGGTCCATTACCAGGTAAAGCTCATATTGATCTCTTTACCAGTCAATCAATGGTCTCTGGGACACCATGTTCACACATTCACAGCCCTTTGCATGATATATGCGCACAAGCCAGCCTTACAAGCTACACCTCCCTCCCATCCCTCCATCCTCTTCCGGCTCTGAGGAGAGCGTGACACACCCATCCGTAGCCCGTGGTACTGGGGCCTGTCCAGTGCAATTTTGCTTAATGCATTGACTCCCAGTTACATTACACCATAGTCCAATAAGGTGGCTTCTGCCAGGGGCTGCAGGCATTCCAGTGAGGTGTCACTGCAGGTAAAACTCAAATATTTTAAGATACAATCTACAAGAAGTCTCTGTTTTCAGTATTTAATATGATAATTGCATTTGCTGTGCGTTATAGCCTGTAGACCGAACATGGAGTACAGGTTAAATATAGATCTGGGCTGCGATGCTGCTGTTGCAGGTACAGATCCAGGGAGAAATGAATTTTATGTCCTTTAAAAAAGGTCAGTATTGACTGAGGGAACATCCTAGCATATCGGCAGATAAAATGTGTGCAGCACTTTGGATAAGTGTCTCTTAAGCAAGCAGATAACGTAATTACCCTACAGCTAATGAGGATGATTATCCCTGACCAATTATTCCCCAATTGAACTAACTTCACTTATTGCATTAGCGAGCTATCATTCCTTCCTTTCTCTGTCCCCATTCCTCAGGCTTATTGAATCTTTTTCCTATCTTTACGACTATTTACCATGAATTCCTGAATGAACAACGTTTTGGACGCATAGCCCAAGTGAGAGATCATTGGGAAGTGAAAAAAACTCACGATGTCCTTCCTCTTCAAGCAGCGTTAGATGACAGGTTGCGATATTCCTAAACTCTCGGTATATATTCAGCTAAGCATATCCTCTGCCTCTCTCAGAGAAAGGCAAAGCTGCCAGACATCTGTCTGAATGTTGGCGATCCCGCAATCGAAAATCCTCCAGAATTTTCCAGAATGTTTATTGTAATGCAATCCAGGAGGTCAGCTGCACAGAGCCAAATCTGTAATCTCCCATCTGGGATAGAGAGACATCAATCACAGGCAGGGGAATTAATGTCAGGGCTGGTAAAACAGGAGAGACGGTCTCTGGCCAGCCCTGCTGGCCTCCGACAGCAGCCATCGTGCGGGGCTCATTATCCCTGCTGCTCTGCAGATTAGCGCGCGCTTCAGAGCAAGTGTCTTGGTAAGTCGGGGGAGAAGGAGGCACAATAGCTGGTCTGTGACACGTTGCCTGTAATTAGCAGGGCAGCGGTGCTGACCACTGGCTTGGAACGCAGGCCCCAGGGACGGGTGCTTTCACCGCTTTGCTCTCATTAGTGGCTGATGCTCACACAGACCAGAGCCTCCTCCTCACCTGCATTGATAAATGCTTACACACTCCGGGACACACTCCCAATTATGCATCTATCGCTCGCTGTTCCCGTGGCTGGCTCCTCCTCCACCCTCCCTGGCATGGAAGGGGGTGGAGTGGTCTATTTGGGAGGGGGTGGTCTATTTAGAGAATGCCCCTGTTTGCTCCTCTAATGGTGTGATCGGTCTTATGATTCCTGCTGAGATTTCCATTCTGGCAGACCCGATCTCAGTCTCAATGAAAAGCGTGAATTATTATTTTATAATGTATTAAAAATTCGGCACGCTGGGATTGTTCGGCTTAACGATTTCTTTTACTAATGCACCAAATTCACCGTCTCCCAAAATGCACCTTGCAAAATGCGCCTTGACGGTTCTTAGCATGTTCAATCGGGACTGTGGAATTGAATGGGGGGCGGGGTATAGGTCAGTCGGTAAGAAGTCTGTGTCCGGAAGGTCATCAGATCAAATCCAGTGGCTGGCAGAGTAATAACGTCGCCGTCGGGCCCCATGGAAAGACCCCTAAGCCCCAGCTCCAGGCCCACTGGCTCTCCCAGCACACTCACACCAAAGCTCACTCCCGCCTGTGTGCGCGTGTGTCTGTGATAAGCCAACTCACCAATAAACCAGCAGTATTCCACTGTGTCGCACTGTATTTACACCCTAAATCTGAATGAACCTCACTGAGTCACTGTAATCACCCGAGTCAAGAGTACAGTATGTTTTAATAATAACTGCAACTTTTTTTGATAACTGTAAATCTGTGAATCCCTTGTCTATAAGAATTTATGAACACATTCATAACACATTATAATACATTCATGAAGCATTAAAAACATGGCTATAAATATTTATAAATAGGCATTACACATTATAGCAATATTTATTACGCATTATGAATGCTTTCTGAAGCTCTGATCCATAATGCACTATAGATATCTTCTTATGCAGTACAAAACATCCTTAATTCTTATACCAACCATTATAATGCATTATGAAGGTATCTATAGTGCATTATAGATGAGAGCTTCATTGGAGCTTATGAAGTATTATAATCAATACTATACTACCTTATGTCTGTTAATAGAAGATGCTGTAATGTTTTATTAATTCGATACTGACCATTATAATGCATTATGAAGGTATCTACAGTACTGTGCAAAAGTCTTTGGCAGCCACAGAAAATGATGCTTAAATAATCTTAATGCTGGTGTAAAACTATGCTATTACGCCTGTCAAAGTGTGTTAGCTTAGCCATTTCAAAACCTCTGCTAAAATCACCACTTTTTTTTCCAGTAACCATCCAACTAGACTTTTGCACAGTACTGTATAACGACTTATAGATGACTGTTTAAGGTAAAGTGTTTCCCTATTGTCCTATAATGGAGCCTCAACATTGTTACTATTCATTGTGTTATACTTCATCATCATCCTCATCTTCCCTCCTGCCGATGCTGCTTCATTCAAATATTTTTTAGAAATGATGAAATGCAATAAAGCATAAATAAAGCAGAAAAAAGCTAAATGTGCTTAATCGCTGTTCTTTCACAGACCTTCTTTATCAAACGTCTGCACTAAAGCCGACGTATTTGCACAGGAATATAAATATTGCTTCTGCTCTATGTCTGTAAGGAGAGAAATAGATGTTTCTGCAAGCTGACAGCTGTGGCATCGATTCAGCAACGCTTAAACTTACGTGTCAGATACACAAAATCACTAAATGCTGGAAGACAGAGGATGGGGATTATGGAGATGCTATCACTGTGTGTGTTTATTGCTTAATGTTTGTGGGCTCACAACACCAAGGACACGATTCTGGAGGAGCAGCAGCGAAGCCGGGTCTCTTACCGAGCTGACGTACTGGATGTCCCTGCTGAGCTTAGTTTCCCTGGGGAAGTCTGTCAGATCCAAGAAGTTGTCCACCACCACCTGGCCGATGATGTCATGGCGAGAAAACCTATCGAAGTCGTAGACGCTGAAGTGCAGCTTGCGTGTGGGTAGCTCAGTGTAGGCCACGGGGAACAGGAAGACCTCGTCGAACACCGGGTTCAGAGTCTTACGGTGCACCTTCGTCTGGTGCTTGGTCTTGCGGTCCGGCAGTAGGTAGATCTTCACGTAGGGGTCAGACGTGCCTGAGAAGTCCTTGGCGGGCAGGTCATCTGCCTTGTGGATCTTGACGATGAGCTGCTCCAGGTCGCAGTCGTACTTGAGGATGAAGTGGAGGCGCCCGCAGCCCCCTCCCCGCCGACCGTCCTCGCTGTCCACCGAGCGCTGCTTGTAGAGTTCGGGTTTCAGTCGGCCCAGGCCGCTCAGCGACTCCTGCCGCTGGAACTGTGCCAGGTTGAAGTCCGGGTTTGACAGGTTCATCTGCCTCCGGATGGAGTCGTGCCTTGTAGCAGAGATGGGACACCGGAGCAGGGGTAACTAAACAATCTGCTTAATCATGCCATCAACTCTGCATTCCATAATCTTTAGATCCAAAACAATGCTACAAACTAACCTGAATACACTGATATAAGAACTCCCCCCCCCTTTTCTAGCCCAGTTTGAAATGGCTAATTAACCTTATGAGTCTCTTCTTCAACAGTTACCCATTCTGACTTGGGAGTGGTAGTACACCTTTGCTCCAATAGGGGTCACTCAAAAGGCTACTGGGCTCTTTCAGCAAAGTACAGAAGCCAAACCATAAACCTTGGTCGGCGGTTTTAAAGAGTTAACACCGTAAAGCATAAAGGGTGACTGGGACATGCTGAGCATGGTACTTAAAGGGAAACCACGGTTTGGGGTTTCCCCGATGCCCCTGTGTGAAGGTGTGTGCTGGTAAAGCGGTGTTCAGCCCCGGAGAGACACTGACCGCCCAGAGGAGGTGGGCTCCGTGACCTGCCGCTGCATGCGTGCATTGTGGATGCAGTTCTCCTTGCCCTTGGATTCGGCTTCCAGCGGAATGTCTGGGGAGGTGTGACTGATCTTCATGGCCGCCTCGGGCACCGGCGTGGCCTCCTTGCAGCACTCTCTGTCGACGGCGTCCGCGTCGCCGTAGGCCAGCTGCTCTGGCTGCTCGTCCTTGGCGCCCGGCGACAGGCCCCGCTCACGCCACGGGATCCAGCAGAGCTTCCACGACACGAAGAGGGAGACCCCGAAGAGGGCCAGGCCGCACGCCGTCACCACCAGGGACAGCAGGCTGACGGACACATCTGCAGCGCGGCGTGGGGACAGGCGCGGGAGGGTCAGCCAGCGGGCCGCACTCAGGGGGGCACTAATGCAGCAGCATTTCCCCCAAACCCACAAACGTGCTGCTCCTCTTCAGGCCGTATTTGACCTCGTTTCTTTGTAGTAAACGTTACTCCCATTTTTGCTTATTTATGCACATTTTATGCACATTCCAAATGTTTAATTTTACTCTTTTTGATGTATCGAGTAAAATTGGAATGTATGATTTTGCGCTCTAGAATATTATTCTGGAAAGTAATTTACTCAGGCTCAGACGCCCAGTGGGGGTGGGGCTCTGCCTCATGCCCTGCAGGTTGGGGACTGGCATCTGTAAACTGCCTATAGTGGGCACCCTGTGATGGATGGGCAGCTTGTCTGTGGTGTCCCCTGCCTCATGCCCTGTGACGGACGGGCATCCTATCTGTGGTGTCCCCTGCCTCGTGCCCTGTGATGGATGGGCAGCTTGTCTATGGTGTCCCCTGCCTCGTGCCCTGTGACGGACGGGCATCCTGTCTGTGGTGTCCCCTGCCTCATGCCCTGTGACGGACGGGCATCCTATCTGTGGTGTCCCCTGCCTCGTGCCCTGTGACGGATGGGCATCCTATCTGTGGTGTCCCCTGCCTCGTGCCCTGTGACAGACTGCCATCCTGTCTGTGGTGTCCCCTCCCTGTTCCCTGTGATAGACTACATCCATCCTGTCTGTAGAGTCCCCCTTGCTTCCTGGGACAGGCTCCAGCCCCCCCTCCCATAACACTGGATAAGTGGCTGGAAGATGGATGTAGCTTTTCCACTCTCAAACCCCCCTGGGTGACGCCATTCATCAGACTGTGGTTCTTCAAGAAATGTCTGTGCTTAACAGGAATATTTCTGTGAAACAAACTGAATTTACTTTAACACTCATCATGCTCCCCCCCATTCCCGTCCCATTGGCCGCATCCCACCCTCCACACGGCAGGACTGGGCCCGCAGAGATGGGGCGGGCGGCAGCACTCTGCCTAAATGTGGGGGGGCTGTGGCAGTGGTGGGGGCAGTATACACCTCTATCATCTCTTATGTATAACAGACGTCTGGAGTTGGAAATGATGGGAATAAGCAGAAACTTTGGTGCACAGATGACAGATAAACAGCCTTCACTACGTGTCCTAAAATGTTTAGCTTGTTTTATATTTCTGGTCAGCAGTTTCAGCTCTATCTGTGAGAAGATCATGTGGCATAGACCTCCTGTCTGTTTTGGGCAGTGAGACCAGCTGACTGAAATGAGTCGTACTGACTTTCACACCAGCCACGCGCTCCTGAACTCGTATCCTGTGGTTTCCTATGGAGTTCAGTCACTGTTCCGCAGTTATTTTTAATAAAAGGCATTTTCGTGTGCTGTTCCCTCACTACTCCCCACTGGGGGCTGTGCCTGTGAGTGTCCTGGACATCCCTGTAGCGTATGGACCTGCAGGGGGGCTGAGATCGCGTTCTCGCGTTCCGCAGGGACGCCGACACGGAACCTGCCGACACTGTTTCACAGCACGGTTCACGGGCCGGACATCAAACTTCAATGAAACAAGGTTCTCAGCTAGCAGCGAACACTTTCAGCAGACCAGCCCTGCTCCTTCATCCTCTCCGAGCAATTTAACCTTACAAGGGCACCTTGGGAGGCCACCTTGCCCCCCCCCCCCCCACTCCCACTCATGTTCTCTGTTATGAATGAAGC